TTGCAAATGGGGAATTTCACTTTTTTTATTATTAATGGCAAAGCTTCCTTTCAATATAATATGTAGGTTGATAGTCATAGATGGAAATATTTTTAAGAAAATCAGCTTTAACGATTGTTTGACTTTTTTTGGCTTTACTTTTGAAACTGTACCTTCAACCATTTAAAATGCAACACTGATTCCATCAACGCTTTTGGGACAACATGAGATGAAGGCATTTATTTATTCTCATTCTCTGGATGTTAGAAGTTAGGGGCAAGACTACTGGATTTCACCATCCTGGCTTGCTTTCTTATTTGTTTATATCAAGCTTTATTTTGTATCTTTGTTTTATCCATTGGGGTTGAATTACTAAAGGCAAAATAAACTTTTCACTTTACAAAGAAAATTGCACTTAGCAAGGGATCTCACCACCACCACCACCACCACCACCAGAGGTTAGTGAATCAGATGATGCTCTAGTGACTTCCATTTGCAAGCAGAAATTCTGTTTTTTGTGTTCTTGCATTTGATTGGGTATTCTTTGCAGTGATATTTCACCACATTCACTAATCTCTAGGGGAAATTGCCTTGTAATGTGAATAACTTATTTATCTTTACTAAATCAACCCCTTTCTTGCTTTCTGTTGTACATGCTGTTTGTCACACCACCTGTTCTATTAGCATTACTAATAATAATAATAATAATACTTCAAATACCACATTTATAATTTTTTAAATATTGTTTCAAGTATCCCTGATATTGTCAATGTTTTCAACACTGTTTACATAGGGAGAGGAAAACAGTGGTCCAGAAGATCACCCTGATTAGGAGAAGGCTCTGAAAGGATCGATTTTCTTTATCCCCTCAGAGACCCCCCGGTCTGTGGAGAGATTCCTGATTTATCAGCAGAATTCTGGGAACACCTTATGAACACAGAATAACGGCAGCTTATGTTCAGAGATGTTCAAAGTTTATTAGACATTACTAAGGTTATATAGAATACAGAAAAAATAAGGGAGGGGGGAGCGAGTTTCAAAACTGCAACTTTGTAAGTTTCCATCATGAGCTAACTACATGAACTATGACATATACATTTCTTGGTATAAACTGTTTCTGCTAGCTTTCTGAGAACAGGCTGGACATAGAAAGCTAAGGGACATCTTATCTTTTGTTTATACATCCTTGAGCAAACTGAAACAGTTTCATTAAACTTCTAATATATCTGCAAAAACCTCTAAAATGGTTTATTTCTAATTTTGGATATAGTAAAACCTTTTGTTTTATTGCTGTCTAAATCTTGCAAGGGGATATAGCCAAAGAATATGAGGAGCAATCAAAAACATTTCAGTTGTTACCAGAGCAGGGAGGGAATATCTTCTAAAAGGGACACCAGTTCAGGTACAATCTGTGAAATATTGTCTGTCTTTGCTGAGATATGTACATTGTACATTTCTGGAAAAGAAAAATGTAGCGCTACCCTTGCAGGAGTTACTTGTACTTTTGCCTGGGTCGCCCCCGCAGACAGGCACAACATATTTTCACAACCAGGTACACACACACACTTCCGCTCGTGGTCTTTAATTACCAGTCTAGGGCATGTTTTTTTTTTTTGAGTTTTATTGTAGAACTGGGGATAGAGATTGGGAAGGTAGTAGGATACTCCAAAAATTATAACTATTCACAAGTGAGGACAGCTAGCTGATCTCGTAATTGAGTACTAATGAAGTTCTGTCTGAAAGCAGATATCAAACTTCTCTTTAGATTGTAGCAACAAGTAGTTTAGCAGTGAGCAAAGTCCATTTAGCAGTAGTAGTAGTAGCAGGACAAAGCTCCTCAGGTACAAACCAGTTACGACAGACTGAGAAAGCCCAAATGTTACATAGCTGAGCAAAGGCCTATGCAGTAGCAACAGTTGGACACGCCCTTCAGAACATCAGCCAGTGTTCCCTTTTTTTCTCAGACCCATGCTGACTATCAAGCACCAGAGGGGTAACAAGCACACAGAGTCCCCAAGATCTCTCAGTGTCTGTATTCACAAGTCCAAGTTGCCCACCTGAGGCCGCATGGCAGCCAATGCCAGGTGAGGTAAGCCTGCCTCCAGCCTGGCATGTTGCAATACTCTCCAGGGAAAGACACTGAACACATGTGCTCACAGAACATAAATACCATTCCCAGAATGCAATAGGACCACCCTTCCCTGCAATTAGCCAGGGCTGTATCCATATTCATGCTGTTCATTTGCCTAGCCTCTGCCCTATGTCCTGGAAGGCTTTCATAGCTTCCTGAAGGCAGATGGAGCTCAAGACAAACTTAAACAGCATCAGAACGTCATGAGCAAACCTGACTAATCAATTACTGCATTCTGTTAAGCAGAATACCAAACTGGATTTACCTAACAGCCTCTCTGTTAATCATAGAAACACAGCTTTACTTATCCTAGCTATACAAGTCCTAGCACCATACTACGAGGGTGCTACCATGAAGTTAAAGGATATCTCTGTAGATGGAATACACACAGCACTCAAAAAAGTCCCAACCCTTTCTCAAGCTAACCGAAACATAAAAACATGTGTGTTCAAGTAAGATTCCATCCAAAATAAGTTTTAGATACCAGAACATTTTAAAAACACAGCAGTTTTTCCCAGTAGCAGGACGGTAATGGTTGAAACACTTTCTGTGCTCTATTTTGGTGCTTCCCTCTTTTACCTTCTGCACTAGGCACAGATCTGCAATTGTCTCATGCTAAAAATAGTTCAAGCAAAACTTAAATTTGAAAGAAATAATGTTTTTTAATGAATAAAAATTCATTGTTTAAGTTTCATTTAGGATGTTTTAACTATTCTAAAAAATGTGTTTATATAGCAAATTGCAGTTTTGCCTTGAATTTGCATTCGATTTGAATGAGTTCATGTAGATTGGTGTTTGATCAGCATGCATTCCATCCAAGGCAAAACTGAGGATGAATTTCAATTAGATGCTTCCATTCTAATCCATGTCCACCTGTAGTTTTCATCAAAATTGCTGGGGAGAGAAACAGTTTTTATATGACAGGGATTTGCCTACTGGCAGCAATGTGTCCATTATCTTAGGAAAAAAAGCCAAAAAATAATTAGTCTGATGCTCCTGCATAGCAGCTACTGGTATATATTTATTTTAATTGTACTAAGTAATCTATATTGAGATTTAGAGATTATCCTCCATCCAAGTGGACATCAATGACTAATTCATAGCATTAAAGAACAATGTTTCAAACAGCTTAGAAACGACAAACTTAAAAATCAGATTTGGAAATGTTCCTGACTGATTCGCTGTTTGATAACCAGACATTGAGCATGATATGCTTTTTCTTTTATGTTTAAGATTTTTTTTATTAAAACCTATGATGTGTTATTTTTCTGTAGTTATACATTTGGCAGTTGTATCAGCACTTAAGAGAAGTTATTCTCCCTGACGCGTTATAGTATTTTGGGGGCTAGAGAAGCAGGGAGTACACTTTTATAATGTATTACACGTGATGCTTTTCAAAGTCTGTGTGTGTGTATTATTTCATACAGCATAACTCAATATAGACTAATTAGTAACTGAATGTTTCTCCGCTTCTTGACTACTTTTTAAATAGTTTATCTGAGCTCACCTGAGTTCTTATATTGTATCTAAATTTAGTTTACAGCTCTATGAATTCAAACAAATTGACCTACCATATACTGTACATTAAGATTTGTAGCTAATTCAAAATTGTTAGTGTGTTTTTGTAAGCTGTACTGTGTTTCAAGTAACTGTTGAACTATTTCAAATAAACTGAGTTACACTTGGTTAAACACTTGGGCCTGGTGACTGGGTGCTCAGGCACTGAACACTAAATTGCAAGAGGCGAGAGGAAGTTTCATGGTTTACCCCCATACTCAGAACTACTAGGATTTTACTGGGGCTGTGTTGGTGGATCAAGGTAGTGATTAGCTACCATGCACACCTGCACCAGGTTCTGAGTGCACAAGTTTTAGGTAATCTCCATTGTTCCGAGTGGTGACAGCATGGGGGCAGGTCTGCATCCTCCATCATCTCCTGGGAGTAAACGTAGCAAAATGGTAGCACAAGTGATCACCATTCACATGGGGCTCCTGGTACTATTTGTGTTCTAGGTTTGGCAGAATGTGAAGCAGGTGGAAAAGTTCTACTTACCAAATTATGAATAAATTATATATGTGATTAGGTAAACTATAGTCATGAAGAATGTTTTTCTGTTTTTTCTGCCTGGTACCTTCTCCCACTTAATTCAAATGGGTGGCACAGCACTGGTGATTACAATGGAAGAGCGACTCTTCTTGAGTAATCAGCGCAACTAGTTCTAGGCTGCCTGTGTGTGTACCTAATTGCACAAATATATCTGGTTATTACATTTGTTGGTAATAACATTGTAGATTGGCAATCGAGGAAGTATTTGATTGCATTAGAGGATCAGGAAGCATGTATTTTTTTTTGTTGGAGCAAATTGGACCATGCTTATTTGGGGTTTTGCCACCCTTTAAATCAGCTTCAGATTTCAGAAGATTTGGGTCTTTTATTTAATTAAATATTTTTTTTCCCCTATTGGTTGGACTCAATGGACATTGGCATTTTTAAACCCAACTAACCAGGTAACTATGATGTGTTTATCTTTTGAAGAAGTGGATTTGGTAATCCCTATATTTTCTGAAATGTTGGATATTAGAAGAATTACACTATATTGACAAAGGTATTGGGACGTCTGCCTTTACATGCACATGAACTTTACTGGCATCCCATTCTTAATCCAAAGGGTTCAATATTGAGTTTAACAGCTTCAACTCTTCTAGGAAAGCTGTACACAAGGTTTAGGGGTGTGTCTTTGGCAATGTTTGACCATTCTTCCAGAAGCGACTTTGTCAAGCACTAATGTTGGACAAGAAGGCCCGGCTTGCAGTCTCTGCTCTACTTCAGCCCAAAGGTGATCTATCAGGTTGAGGTCAGGACTCTGGTGCACAGCCATGTTGGAACAGGAAGGGGCCATCCCCAAACTGTGTCCACAAAGTTGGGAGCATGAAAGTGTCCAAAATGTCTTGGTATGATGACGCCTTAACTTCTGAAAAACAATCCTACATAATCCCCCTACCACGTTTTACACTTGGCACAATGCAGACAGGCAAGTACTGTTGAGATTCATCACTCCAGAGAACACAACTCCACTGCTCTAGGGTCCAGTGGTGTACACCACTACATCCGATGCTTTGTATTGCATCTGATGATGTAAGGCTTGGATGCAACTGCTCGGCCATGGAAACCCATCCATGAAGCTATCTACTCACTGAAGTTGGCGACTTCTGTGCACTGTGTGCTTCAGCATGCTCTGACCATGCTGTCATTTTACATGGCCTACCACTTCGTAGCTGAGTTGCTGTTGTTCCCAGGGCTTCCACTTTGTTATAATAGCTCTAACAGTTGACCATGGAATCTTTAGTAGCAAGGAAATTTCACGGATAGACTTATTGCACATGGCAACCTAGCATGGTACCACGCTTGAATTCACTGAGCTCCTGAGAGCAACCCATTCTTTCACAAATTTGTAGAAGCAGTCTTCATGCCTAGGTGCTTTATTTTATACACCTGTGTCCATGGAGGTGATTGGAACACCTGAATGGAATGATTTGGAGGGGTGCCCCAATACTTTTGGCAATATGGTATATTTGCATAGAGAAATCTTTTTGTGGGGATTAAAGTGCTTATACAGTGAAGCAAGACTCTTGGTTCCATAATTAAATTAATTGACCCTTATTTAAATTATGCACTCCCGCTATTATATGTGACAGACTTTACACACCACTTGTTGATCACCCTTTTAATCTTCTTTCTGGAATACCATCTCTGCAGTACCCACTGCTGCATAATACTAAGCCTGGACATTGGTTTGGTAAACCTGAAACCTCAGGTGTATTCTTCTGAGATCTTCTGAGATCCCCAAATGAATTTCATTTCTTCCCTAAAATACTTGTTCACCCTGACACCCTCTATTGTTTCCTGTGCTTTCCTGTTAGTCCAGATGTCCACATAGAAAGAAATCCCTGAGACTTTCATATAAGCATAACCTAGGATTTTGAGCTCTTGAACTTTTGAAAGCCTGACATTTATACTTTAGGATCATGTTTTTTTTAAACTAATTAAACATTTATCATTTAAGGAATAGTCTTTGTTTTTTAAATCCAAAAACTATACATTTTATAAAAACAATGACTTTATTCTGAAACTGTGATTTTGAATGCTTGTTTTTTATGATCTACAGTTTACCATGGTAACATCAACCTTGCAATAATGATTTATTTTGGGCATAGATCCATAAAGACAGTATAAAGCAGCAATAAAGACAAAATAGCTGCAAATGTAATTTTAGACATCTGAGGCTAAGAGGCACCATAATGTTTCCATGAATTAAATTCATCAATCACTATTTTGCATTGCATAGGTTTAACACTTTTTTTCCACACTTTTTATGTATATGACATAAAGATGCTTTATGATAAAGAGCTGGAACCTGTTCATGGAATATATGGTATTGGTAGATTTAAAGACATTACATCCTAAATCTAAGCCATGTATGCAAAATCTAAGCTATGTCTATGTAAATTCACCTGAAATTCATGTTGTAAAACAACCAAATTATTTTAACAAGTGCACTCAAATTTCTCCACCTCCATTTTTGAGCTGAATAATTGTTAGTTGTCAAGCATAATTGCTCAAATTTATCATCTCTACAGCAAGACTCCCATTGTGGCATTTTTAGTATAATGGCCAACAAACTAGCTAACAGATTAACAGTTCATTTACATTTTTTAGCATAACGTTTCGTGGCTTGTTGTATTTCTAAATAGGCTCTATCATAAAGAAAAATATTTGTGTGAACAGGTTCTGCTAGTAGCAACATTTCCTTGACTCATGTGCCACTTACTAGTACAGCTGTAACTCAATGTATAGGTTTAACCTAATTGCCCCAGAACTGTATACTATATATGTATATATGGTACATGAATCTGGCAATGGTTGATTTTCACACATGTTTAAGAAACACACCTGTTTTTCCTTCCTTTAGCTGTCACAATTGCTTTCCTCATGCCTGCATGCACACATATTATGTGAGATTGCAGCAATTCAGATTGGGAATGTACACTAGTATGGAAAATTGGACTTCCATAAATTGTACCTTTGACTGCCAAATATGTATTAGGTATGTCAAAGTTGTAGACTTCCTATGTAATATGTCACAGCAAATGATTAACAAAAGTTTACTGTTGCAATAACAGCCTGAAATGTAATGTGATAAAAGTTATCATTCTTTAAGATAAAAATAAAGTATGGGAACCCCAACTCTAATGCTGTACCTCCAATGAAAAGACCTATGTCACATCCTGTTTGCAGCCTAATCACCAATAAAATATAATACAATTCTAAGCAAAAAATACATACAAAAAATAAAACAAAAAGTCAATACAACCATTTAATATACCTGAATATACTGTACCTTACATACACAAGGACAAAGCATAAATGTGGTATAATGTAAAACAGATGTAGTAGAAAATAATTTGCTCAGTTGCTTACTTTGATTTTCAATGTTGCGCACAAAAGACACAATTTTAAATGTATATATTGTGACAAACAGACTCAGCAAACATAAAGGAACAGTAGTGGATATGATGCACAATGTCCCCAGATAATGTTTTTTTTTCCATTGAAGACTAGGAAACAAAAGGTTATGCATTCGGACTCTTGTCTAGTCAGAGTTTTAGAGGCTGGTCAGCAAAAGAAATTGGGGTTTTCTGGGCCACCACTTCATACCAAGAGTTCTAACCTTTCCCCACTTACCAGACTGTCCTTTATATCTTAAAAAGTGTAAAACAAAAAAAGCAAAAAAAAATATATAGTGTATATATACAGTATATATATATATATATATATATATAAAAATATAAATATCAAAGGTCCCACTTTGATATCCTAAAAAGTCACCTTACTGCAACTTTATGCTACACTTTGATGTCCTTTGCCCAAAACAGAAAA